TGTCAGCAGCAAACTGGTTGATCCACTCTGAGAAGGTGCTATTTAAGAGACTGAGCTGAATACAGCACCTCAAATTGAGGAAGTCTTTCGGATGAAAGGCGAAACGTATCTACAATTTTTTGCTTTGTTTTGTTTTTTGTTTTTTTGAATGTCCAGAGGACCAGATTGAACTTTTTTAGATGTTGTCATTATTGTTTTTAAAGTATAAAAAATAGGTCCAGCTGCTGCTCCGAGTTCCGAGTAATTGCAAATGGCGAATTGGTGAAAAGTTTCTGAGAGAACCAGTGACTCCTCCCCCTGACCAATCAGTGACCGACGGTGTTCTGACATCACGTTTTTGTGTTGGCTCGGCTCACTTGGACCCCTTGAGAAAAAGGGACAAAATTAGGGGGCGAATCTGCTACAAAGTAGTAGTGGAAAAGAGTTCAAAACCGTGCTGAACTGAGAATATTTGATCCACACCATCACAGTGGAAAAGGGGCAGTTGTTGCTCCTTTTGTCTGGATTACTGCAGCAATGCGGCGTGGCATGGAGTCAATCAGTCTCTGGCACTGCTCAGGTGTTATGAAAGCCCAGGTTGCTCTGATAGTGGCCTTCAGCTCTTCTGAATTATTGGGTCTGGTGTATCGCATCTTCCTCTTCACAATACCCTAGGGGTGCACAGATTGCAGTTTTCTGGTTGATCACCAGTTTCTAAAAAGGCTGACCTGCCGATTCCGATTTTGTTTTATAAGCGACACTGTCAGGTGTTAGGTCACAACGCACCTTCAATTTTCCAATATTATTTTATTGAAAAACATATCCTTGAACAATATCCTAGAAACAATACAAACTTGTTTTAACTGGCCATGAGGTAGTGCTCTGAAATATAAATGAAGTTCAGACAATTGTTAAAACTAAAATCAGTAAAATCAGTTTCTCATGTAAGTATCGGACGATTTCCAATTTCCCAAAATTAAGGAAATTGGGGCCGATTTATTGGTGCACCCCTACAATACCCCATACATTTTCTATGGGGTTAAGGCGAGTTTGCTGGCCAATTAATAACAGGGACACCATGGTCCTTAAACCAGGTACTGGTAGCTTTGGCACTGTGTGCAGGTGCCAAGTCCTGTTGGAAAATGAAATCTGCATCTCCATAAAGTTGGTCAGCAGCAGGAAGCATGAAGTGCTCTAAAACTTCCTGATAGATGGCTGTGTTGACGTTGGACCTCAGAAAACACAGTGGACCAACACCAGCAGATGACATGGCACCTCAAACCATCACCGAGTGTGGAAACTTGACACTGGACCTCAAGCAACATGGATTCTGTGCCTCTCCTCTCTTCCTCCAGACTCTGGGATATTGATTTCCAAAGGAAATGCAAAATTTATTTTCATCAGAGAACATAACTTTGGAACACTCAGCAGCAGTGCAGTCCTTTTTGTCTTTAGCCCAGGCGAGGCGCTTCTGACGCTGTCTCTTGTTCAAGTGTGGCTTGACACAAGGAATGCGACAACTGAAACTCATGTCTTGCATATGTCTGTGTGTGGTGGTTCTTGAAGCGCTGACTCCAGCTGCAGTCCACTTTTTGTGAATCTCCTCCACATTTTGGAATGGGTTTTGTTTCACCATCTTCTCCAGGGTGTGGTTATCCCTATTGCTTGTACACTTTTTTCTATATCTTTTCCTTCCCTTTGCCTCTCTATTAATGTGCTTGGACACAGAGCTCTGTGAACAGCCAGCCTCTTTAGCAATGACTTTTTGTATCTTGCCCTCCTTGTGCAAGGTGTCAATGGTCGTCTTTTGGACAACTGTCAAGTCAGCAGTCTTCTCCATTATTGTGTAGCCTACAGAACTAAACTGAGTTATTAGACGGTGGCACCAGGTGTCTTCAATATTGAACCTTTTCACAATATTCTAATTTTCTGAGTAACTCTAAACTCTAAAATAACTCTAAAATGGTTATTGAACAGTTTAACATCTAGTTTTACCTACATAAGTAAACAGCCCGTTAAAATACACCAGAATGCATCTACTTTATTCAAAATTTTCTGGGGGAGAACCCCCAGACCCCCCAACCACCATCAGGGTGTCCCCCCCACATTACAAATAGTTATGAGGCCGATGGCCGCCGTGTTGTTCAAGCCAAGAGCCACTGTCAGCACTGGGGGCTAAGCACCCCTAAAAAGTGCATATTCTAGAGTTGATCTTGTAAGGTTATACATGATTTGAATAATAATAGGTTGTGATCTAAAGTGGGCCAGTCTAAGGCATGAAACGTCGGGACTGAAAATGAGTCTCACTCCGGCCCTGCTGCTCGCACATTCTCAGCACACAAAAAAATCTATGCAGCACAGTGGCAGACTGGTCATCGAGAGCACCCCCACAGAGACATTTCCCGGTGGCCTGGCCTGCTCAGTGACCGCAGAGGAGCTGGACAAAGGCTTGGTTCAGGTCACGCTTGATTATTTTAAATAAATAATCCATGCCGTTCGCTCAGGTGTCCGCCCCACTGAAGCCCCCACAGACAGCAGCAATAATGGGGAACGAGAGACCCCCCCCCCCAGACTGACTCTCACAGCAGAGATAACACACAACAGCTTGCATGCCCGCTCTAGCCCATAATGACTCGCGCTTGCGAGGGTTATATGTTCCCGTGTACATATTGTTATCCACTGTTGTCATTTGTTAAGAAATCAGGTCTCTCTTGTAAATTGAGTCCCTGAGGCTCAATGGGATTAACCTGTCTAAATAAAGGTTGAATGAAAAAGTTTGTTAAAGATAGGATTTTTGGTATTTCATCAGAAGAAACTATCTTAATAATTAGAGGCAGTTATTCTGAAGATGGAGATTCAGATTCTACAAGATGAAAAAAGTGGAACAACAAATAAAAAGAATAGGTAGCATATTACTAAATTGTGTCTTATTTCTTGTTTTTTTCTGTTTGAAGTATTTCACTTTACTATTTTCTTTTAATCACATCCTATTGTATGATTAAACCAAAAAAATTAAAAACAGACAAAAAATTTTGATTGTGTGATTGTTTTATGTGTACTGTATGCGTACAACTTTTATTATGGGACTTTTAATCGTATTTATTATCAGACTATATGATTGTTTTGTTGTGTGTAGAGCACTTTGGTCCTGTGGGTGTTTAAAGTGCTCTATAAATAAAGCTGGTATGGTACTATTATATGTGGGGAGTGGTGGTGCAGAGGTTAGAAAATGTGGGCCTGTGAGGTCACTGGTTCAACTCCCCAGACCAACATTAAAATGTGAGTGGGAAAGGTGAAGCATCCACACCTGCCTCATTTACCCCTCTCTGGGCCATTAACCCACACCACCTGCTCCCCCTGGTGCCCTATAGCAGCTCTCTGCTCCACACAGAGGGCTATGGTAGCTCGGTGGTTATGTCAGGAAGGACATCCAGCATAAAAACAATTGTCAAGTCTTTGTGCGACTTAGTTTGTTGTGGCGACCCCTGAAAAAGGGAGCAGTCGAAAGAAGAAAAACGTTTACTAATATTAGTTTCTATTTCTTCATGAACTAATCCATTCCAGTTGATTAACGGGAGAATACACGAACCACCGTGCTTATATTTTACTTTTTAGTCAATGTACAAAATGCTGGGTTTTATTCACTTCAAATCAAATTGGGACATCACTTTAGCACAATTAGAGCAACATTTTCCTCGTTGGCTTAAAACCAGTTCAGAATGTTTTCTTTCTTCACGATCCTAAGTCCTAACTTAAGAGTTTTAGGAAAATGCTGTCAGAATTTAAAAAAAAAAAAATAGTATACTGTATACAGGAAGTCCTCCTCAGGATAGTATAAATGCTTTGTCATCAGAGGAATATATAGTGGCCATGTTTAATTGTTGTTAGGACAACTGTAAAGACCTGCTTTGAAGCGGTTTGTAATTGTTGCCGTTTCTGGAAGCAGACAAGTCCGAGTTTGGTTTGAAAAGAAAATGTATGTTTTTTTTACCACCCAGTAATTACTCTGGACAACTGCAGCCTACAGTCATTAGCTGGCAGACAAACTTCAAAATATTTGACTCAGTTTAAGCAGAAGTCAAGAATTGATCAGTCAAAATGCAACTTTAATTACAATCTCGAGGCAAAGAAAAGTTACCTGATTTACTATCATGGCAAATGTATATCTACACCAAAATGAGCATTTTCCATTTTAAGGAATAAATAGACCTAAAGCTCTGGATTCGCTTATTTACACATGAGCACCTTTTTCTTCTGCAGGCGTTCATGAGATAAATGTAAATAAAATAATAAATTACCATCTATATAAAAATACAGCCAGCTAAAAGCTCCACCCCTCTACAAAATCAAGCAAAACATTTGTCATAAAATGCTTAATATGCCATTATAACTACCAGTAGATCTCCATAATTTATTTTTCTTTAAAATGGTTTCCTCAGCAATGCTGTGCTCCATTCATACAAAAGATGTAAACAGTTAAAAGACAGTTGTCAAGTTACTAGGCAATCAACCAAAACTAAAATTAAACTCAAGACGTTTATTGTCCCTAAACTAAATACACCGAATTAAGAAAACTTGGTCATTTAAAAAAGTCAGATTTAATAAACATATGTACTCAAGGTTTTTCACAATGCAGTACACAGTTCAACAGAAGCTAAACCCACTGTATTACAAAATATGAAATCATATAGCCAATGCCACATGAAGAGTAACATGACATTGGCTGCTTAACTGGATTTCATCTAGTCACTAATTTATTCTTAAGCGAAAACAAAAATACATAATTGGTAAAAACAGTAGCACAAATGTGAAAAAGTACTTAATAAAAAGTTGTGTTTTGCCCATTGTACACAGACAAAACTAATTTCTGCACAGTGGCTCTGCATTACAGTGAAAACAAAGCAAGTCTTCAGCCTAAACATTTAAAAGAAAACCTGGAAAGGCTTTTCTAAAGGTGAAATTATAAAAGTAAAAAAACATTCTTTGGCTTCTGAGCTTCTGTCTGGCTGAAACGTTCTCGGAGGTTGCCTTCAGAGACCACACAGCACTCGTTTTTCTTGTGGGGGAGAGGGATGAAGGATGTGTCTACAGCATATCGTCATCCTCTCCTCCTCCGTACATGTCAGCCAGTTTCTTGAAGCGGGGGCCCCATTCATTGAGACAGTTGTAGTCCTGATCTCCACTGCCCGATGAGTTCAGAGAGGAGAGACTTCCTGCTTCTGAGCCTCCTCCCTCGTAGTCAAACACCAACAAGGAGTCGTAGGGCGGGGCAGTGGGGTCGTTGTCGGCTGCCTTCAAGTTCTGAGGAAGATGTAAAAATTTGTTTAATATCATTTATTTTTTTTAGAAGTTAACCAATATATAAAAAAGATCAATAAAATACATGCAGCAATCAAGTAGTTTATTTTAAGGGCTATAAGCCGTTTCCATCATTTTCAAGTTCTTACGTCAACAATAAAGTTGCCAATTTCATCTGGGTTGGCGGGACGAGGCCTGTACTGAGGAGCTGGCATGAAAGCTGGAGCCACATCATTCCTGAACACGTCGGGTCGATTGTCCAGACCAAGATGGAGAGTACCCAAATTATAATCCTGATGGAGTGAGATGAACATTCACAGATTATATTGCTTGTAACAAATCTTCACTGAACATAATGTGAAGTCCATCAGCGTCACAGTTTACCTGATCTTCCTCTCCACCTCCCTCTTCAGCATAGTGATAGATGTTATCTCTGGTGTCATCGTCTTCTTGCAGTAGAGGAATTCCTTTTTCTCGTTTCCCCCGGTTCGCAAAAAGAATCAGCAGCACCAACACTAAAATAAATAAATAAATAAAATGAAGTCTAATTCATCTACCATTGTAAGTCCTACAGAATTAGAAATGGTAATGGACTGTACTTATACAGCACCTTTCCATCTGATCAAGACACTCAAAGCTCTTAACAATCTGTGCCTCATTTACCCATTCATACAGCACTCTAATAGATCTCTACAAAGACTAATCAGAGCATCACATTCATACACTGAGGGGACACACATCAGAGGCTATGAGGGGTTCAGTGTCTTGCCCAGGGACACTTCAGCATGTGACTGCTGGTGGAATCGAACCTCCAACTCTCCAATTGGAGGACGACTGCTCTAACCATTCAGCCCCAGCCGCCCCAATATACCTGAATTATACTGAAGGAGAGAACAGATTTATAGAGCGGCCAGCCTGAAACCCGCAAAAAAACTGCATGTGGCACAATGTGTTGTTAGAAAAGGTAAATCTAATCTACAAGTTGTTCTGAAACCTTGAAACCATCAGACATATGTAGTGAACCAGATGACCTCAAATCTATGTAGGATGCATGTGGTAAGTTTTGGATAACGAGAAATGGGTGAACCAGTTCTCGTTGATTCCAGTTCAGTTTTAGGTTAATGACTCCTTCTGCGGTCATTACCTGTGAACTATTGGGAACTAATGGAAAGCGGAAAGCTTTTTTAATTAGTTCTAGACCAACGTGTTTGTGAACCAAGGTTTCGTAGAAAGCTCGGTTAATTGCTGATTTATCTGTCCACAGAGACAGTACAGCATCGTTGGTGTGGGACCCTTGGATCTCTACACCCTTAACTACCAGTGGTAGGTAGTGTTTGGTGGACTCTGACTGTTCCAGCTCACAGAGGAGGCTGTCTTGTTGAGTCAGAGTTTGGACCACTTGGGTTTCTTTGGTTTCACATGGTGTCAGAGGAGTACTCACCGGGCTCGTGTCCTCGGCTGAGGAGTCCTTTGTGCCTTCCGCGGTACCTGCTGTTGGGCAGTCTGTGTCACACTCCGGAGGCGTATCTATTGGCAGTGGTTTGCTCACTTTTGTCCACATTGTTTGATCACCATAATCTATAATCGCGTTGAAGCGATTTATAAAATCCTGGCCAACCAAAAATGGGAATGAGTCGACATGGGTCACGTGTACCGGGTGGTACAGTGTCATATTGCCAATCTGCATGTGAACCATTGCTATAGCTGTCAGGGTTGTTTTCATTTCTGAGAGACCCTGCATTTCTATAGCACATTCAGAGAGAGGTATTATCCTGTTAACACTGGCAGCGGCCGTCCTCAGCTCCTCGAACAGTTTAGCTGACATAATTGTTATGTCTGCCCCACCGTCCAAGAGTGCTTCGTGTGTGAGGACACCTTCGAGTGTTACTGACAGGTACGCCTTTTTGGCGGCCCCCTTTCTGATAAAGTTACACAGAAACCTTTTGGTTTTTTTCTGACGCTTTTTCACGCGTTCAGATTTATCTGTGTAATCTTGATTTGTCTGAACCGTCAGCACAGCAGAAGCTGTTTCTGAGTGTTCAGCTTGCGATGACTCGTCATCGTTTGTGTGTGTGTTTACCCCCCCTTCTTCTGATGAGGGGTTGTTTGAGTGAACAACAGTTATGTCTTGGTGTGTTTCACCGACATCTGTTATGTTGTCATTCGCGCCATTAGATGTAATGGGAATTACATCACTGCAAAGTGCTCCTGGTTGGGTTCCCGTGTCAGTGTGTTTCAAAGTTTCTAACAACCTGCGTATTTTCTCTGTCTCTTCCGAGTTTAGAGATGTAGGGCCTTGTTTCTGGAACTTTTGTGATTTTTTCGCCTCGGTTCGTTTCGTCCGAGGTGGGGGACGGTCAGGTACGTCTTTCGGGGGTTCCTTTACGTACTGCCCCTGATGATATGGTTTCCCATATCGTTGCGTCCTACGCTCACCCCATTTACGATAATCACGTTCATCCTCTGAAAGAGGAGCATTTTTGTCCCAACGTGCACCTTCATTACGTGGTTTGTTATTTTGAACAGACTGTTTTCTCTCTTTCTTAGGAGGAGGTGGCGAAGCACGTCGTCCTTCTAGTTCAAGAGAGTGGGGTTTAACCTTTACACTAGGAAACACTTCAATGGGCGTCTTATCATGAGAACATGCTTCAAACACATTCACAGCACACTGTTTAATCTCACTGATGGATTTTTCTCTGAAATTTGCCATCATTTGTACTGATTTTTTAAAATCAGAGTGGAGATTTTTGGTGAAAACAAACTTAAAACCATCATCTTCTTCCATTCCGGTCTCATTTCTGTTACCAAAATAAGCTTGGAAGATTCTTTTGTAATAAACTTTTGGATGTTCATTCTTGCCCTGCGTGACCTTGTCAGCGGCTGGGAAACCAGCAGGTCCCGTGCAAGAGTCATACTCTTTGATCAGAGCTTCACACAGAAGTTTGTAATCCTTTCTCGTTGCATCTGGTAGACGCTCGATGAAGGTGAACACCTCTCTGTCCGAAGTGAGTCGTATCAGACTGATTTTATCTTCTGCCGTAGCATTAGGATAAGCTCTCAATCTGAAATCCAGATCTCTGAGGTACGCTTTTGTTCCTGCCGACCCCATAGGGCCGGGAACGAAACGTTGTACATATTTTGAGACTTTCTGCAAATCATCCATTGAAGGAGACTGTATCAACGGTCTCATTTGCGTGATTGGTGCAGATTGGTCAAGGCCTGCCCCTACCGCCCATGGTGGGGGTGGGGGTGGCTGGTAAGGAGGAAGAGGTACATATCGGTGCAGGTCTGTCCCTACCATCCGTGATGGTGGTGGGGGTAGGGGCATGGTGTCAGGAGGAAGAGGTACATATCGGTGCAGGTCTGTCCCTACCATCCATGATGGTGGTGGGGGTAGGGGCATGGTGTCAGGAGGAAGAGGTACATATTGGTGCAGTTCTGTCCCTACCGCCCATGGTGGGGGTGGGGGTAACGGCGTGTTGTCAGGAGGAAGAGGTGCAACAGCATCTGACTGGAGAGTTCGTGGCTGTCTCGGACCCTGATACTGTTCGTCTTTGAGTCTTAGACCAGGCCACCCCATATCAGAAATCTGGTTTGTAGCTGTAGCTAAATTCTCCTCACAAGCTTTCAGGTCCTCCTGTGATGTCTGATATTTTCTTTTTAAAATCAGCCATTGTCGGAGTGATTCCGTCTTGTCTGCCTTGCAAGCGTCCAGCTCCTTCAATGCGATCTGTAACTGTGCTTGTAGCACATCGTTATCTGAACGCACGGATTGGTACGCACGGTCTTTATCCCTAATCTTCCCTTCATATGATTGAGCCTGTTTTAACAGCTCAGTCTTTGAGAGGTCCCCATCAGTCTTTATTTGTTGTTTTTGCAAAACAGATTCATACATCAATTCATCACACCTGTCCTTTTCAGATTGATATCCGCTGAACAGCGTGTCATTTATCTCCAACTGATGGTCCAATTCCGCTTTCAGAAGCAGGGATATTTTTGCTAACCGTTCACGGCTCGATTTTGAGTTTTCTGCCACTTTAGCTTCTTTTGCCAGCCTCTGCAGCTCCTCATTTCTTTGAGCGTCATCAAGGTTTTCTAATTGCTCTAATTGTGTACCAATAATTGAGTTTGTTAAAATGTATAAAGCCGACTGGACGGCATCTGTGGATTGAAAGGGGTCAAAGTCTTTTTCTAACACACCTGTCATGTTTTCACTGTGTAGCAATTTATCTGTTTGAACAGTTGCAAGCTTTAGATATTTTACAGGTAAATATTTGTATTCAAGTCAATGAGTTTTCACACTTATTTTAGCTTTGGGTTTACACAGAAGTACTGTTATAAGTCAACTTATTCAAATGTGGGTACCTTTCTCAGGTTTTACCCCAATTCATGAATATTTAAGTAAACGCTCTTTTGGCAGTGTTACTTTTTGTGCTTATTTTCCACAGATACTAGAGTACCAAGCTGTTTTTTAGTGTATTTACTCTAAAACACTGAATTTTTATAAACCTGCAAATTTTTCTTTAGTCTCACAGCAATATTAGTTTAAAACGTTTTTTTAAACCGTTCTGTTCCAGAAATTTGCTATTTTAAACAGTTACTCATCAACTCAGGTGGGTGAAAAGAAAAAGAAATTGATGATGAGGAATAATCAGTCTTTCTTCAGAAAAACTGTATTTGCTCCTGTAAAGCTTCTATTTAAAATTAAATAGAGAGATATTTTATTTAGGTGGCAAATTAAACAGAAAAATCTCTTTTTCCTCATAAATTTACTCTTATTTAGTGATTTTGCAATTAAACGTGTATTATCCTTCAAGCAAAATGAGTAAACTATTCAACTCTGTGAATATTTGTAACTGTATCTGTTTTTTTAAAAAGTTTCTAATTTTATTATGAACCTGTTTCTCAAGGATTTATTAGTGAATAAAATTTTTTGGTAAATGCTTCTTTGCATAAATACCTATTACTTTTTAAAATGTAAGATAACAGTGTTTTATTCAGCTCTGAGGAAGTTTGTTAACTCAAAATTGCCTTACAGAAAAATAAAAAAAACGTTTAATTTCACTCTTTACCTAAAAACGAAGTGAAACCTGTGATCTCACGTCTCGCCAGGAGATGTCAGTATTACCTCAACAATCTTAACTCAGACACTGTTTGTGTTATCCACTAGGGGAGCTATAACTTCCTGTGGCGTTCGGTTGACATCCTGTTGTTAGCTGCTTAGCTTGAAGTTAGCTTCGGCTAAACTCGGTTAAAATCAACATTTCTGAACGGATTTTTTACACAAAAGTGGCAAAAGTTTTGCAATCAGACTTTATAGCTTCAAACATGAGTTTTTGGGACTGTATAGCAGCTTCATTTAGTGATTTTAAGCGTAGTTTAAGCTCCGGTCGTTAGCTGTTTAGCTTAAAATTAGCATCGCTAGCGTTGTTTAAAAACATCGTTTTTTGACGAATTTTAAACTCTAACGTAGCAAAATTTCAGCAAATAGCTTCGAAGCACTTGACCAGCGTGTCAAAACCACTTTAAAGTTACTTTTCAGCTTTAAAAAGCAGATTTTATTTCCCTATGAAAACGAATTTCATTTCCGGGTCACGTGACTGAAATCACCAATGGCAAAGCAGCGCAGGGTGAGAGGAAGTGACGTAGCCACGCCAGTCAGCCTTCTCAACCAATCAGAGCGTTCCACAACAGCGAATTCAACCAATCAGGAAGCGTTTTCTCCAGCTAGCAAGTTAGATTAGCGTAAAATAGTTCGTCACTTTTTCGTCTTTTAAACCATCAAAATGCACTTTTTCTGTTAAGATTTGTAACGAATAACCCCCTGAGCCGCACGGAGACGGCGCTCCGTGACAAACGTCTTTCTAGCTATTTAAAACAACTCGTTCGAACCCGTTTCAGAACCGAGCCGGTCCAAAGAACCGAACCGGACCAGAACAGCGTCTGGAACACAGTTTAAACAGAATAAAGCGTTTCCACAGCTCAAAGCCAGCTTATGTTACACATACAGACGTACAATTCAGCTTTATAAAGACTCAATGACACAATTTCAGCTTTTAAAACATTGCCAGCGTAACACAAGCGCGCAGCTCCAATTGCGCTGCGTAAAGACGCACGGTTTCAGCACAGCTGATAGACTGTTACTTTTTCAACATGCCAACATTTAAATCAATCTTTACACGAATTAACAGTCATTCATGAACCGTTACGGGCCACCAGTTTGTAGTGAGTCACGTGGGTACGTGTCACTTGTTGTATGACAAATATATGAAATATATATTGCATACAATATTCACGAGTTCTTCATTTTTCTGACTGTGTAATGTCGTGTATTGATTTTAACAGAAATGTAACGAGAGACGTTATTACCTTTGACCCATCAAATGAATGGAGTCATTTATTTTCAGAATCAAAGTTTAACATCAAACATTTACATTAATTTGGCAAAATATGAAAATAATAACAGACAGTTTCACAGAAAATGAACTTCAAATCACTCGGCGGTGATTTGAGGACTTTGCTTCAGATATTTCTAAAATATCTGTACTAGTTTTGTGAGAGAGAGGTGAGTTTAAGAGGAAATTGAGATTTATCTTACAGAGGAATATGTGAGGGAATTTAATCTGTTTAACCAGAAATTGCACGCTCCGTCAGATCTCAGCTTTGCCCACGGTACACTTGGTCGAAGAAGAAACCGTTACCTTGTTGACGATCGATCACCTCAGTAAGAATCCTTTTCAACTGATATCAGCGTCTCCGTTGAGAACAGCTAAAATCCTTGGAGAGTCGTGCGTGGTTAGTTCAAACAGAATCATAATTCCAAAACGTCTCTGGATTCTCGGCAACTCTGACTCTTCATTGTCAGCAGCTCTCAGACTCTTTCAGATCTTCTCAGACTCCAAAACTCTCCATAACTCTAGTTCTCTTCTGAACTCCTTGAGAACTTTTCATTCTCCGAATCTTTTCCATTTTCTCATGAACTGGGAAGTTGCCACATTTTATTTGGGTCGACTTCCGGTTCAATTTAGAGCTTTCTGATTCGTGGATGTACCAGAAAGAGGTGTGGTTTCTTGACGTAAGTTATTATCAAAAGTCAAGGATTGTTTTCAACATACAGAAAAGATTATTGCAGTCGACCAGACTTCGTGGAGTCTCACACTTGGTAATCTTTTCAAATAGTAAAACATGACATTTCTTCTTCAGTAAACATTTAGTTGACCGAAGCTTCAACTTTCACACACTTACGCCTTGGCTCATTTCAGACAGAAAATCAAGAAATGCATATTCAGGTGATTTCTTCTTTGAATGAGGAATAAAAATCATTACTTACTGTTTATGTAAAATAAAGATGAGTAGTTCTTTTCAACCTATAAGCATTGAGTGAACTAACACAATTTGATTATCAAAACATTTGTAAGACAGTAATGATTATAGAGGATTGTCTTTTCTGCTTGATTAATTCAAGAAAGAAAGTCATCAGATGGCCCAGACTTATTCAGATCAATGAAAATAACAGTCTCTGTCCATCTGGTAGATTTGAGGTCATCTGGTTCACTACACATATCAGTGATGCAGCACTAATTCCTTCAATCATTCATGGGGTCCCAACCTAATTTGGGATTTTTTTTTTTTACTTAATAACGGTCCCCGGATTTTTACAAACCATCTAGAATCTAGAAATACAATAAAATCTCAAACTCACAGAGCAGCAGCAGGATAGCCCCCAGTATTCCCAGGATGATCGGCAGATTACTGCCAGCAACAACACCTTGACGATCCTGGCAGTTCTTGTCTTCTCCCGTGCAGTCGCAAACTTTGGCTGTGATTGTGTTGACCTGAGACTTACCCTGGTTGTCTGCAACACTCATGGCTACAAGGTAGTCTCCACGCTCAAGCTCAGTTTTTAAAGTCAGGATGATGCCTGTTCCTGTAGGAACAACAGTAAGAAGAAAAATCACCTGCATTTAAAATATGGACAATTTTTCATATTGACAAGTTTAATTAATCATTATACCCTCAACAAGCACTTTATAAACAGAAAACTTTGACATTCATTTTCAAATCAGCACCAGCAGCAATCTGTGGAAAACTTCAGCAATAAAAATACAACTTTTTCTATTCTGCTTCAGCATTTTGTGAATTTGAGTATGAACGGCCTTTAATCGTTTTGTCTTAAAGAGGAATTTGACAGAATAGTGTTGGCTCATGTTGAGTAAAAACTGCTTTAAATTAAAAGTTGGATTTTAATTTGATATGAATTTATGAATTGTGTACATACTGGTGCCGTTCATCTTGGCTGTCCAGTTAGTTTGTGCAGCTTCACTTAAAGTGACGCTGTATGGAGAGGTGAAGCCCGGTCCATCTTTATCTGTTACAGTGAGCAGCTGAGGAGCTGGGTCTTTGTTACATATCTGTGGAAAAAAGTGGCAATTTTGTTTATGATGATTAGGTTACATAATTGTTGTAAATTAATCTTAAACTTGACACTTCTGTATTCCGATGACATCACATTTTAAAATGTGAGAAAAGTGAATAACGGCATCACAAACATTCCCAAGATTCATCCGTTTTAGAAATATTCAGTGAGAAGTGTTCAGATATGAGGAGGACGTACTGTGAATTCCCGCTCCTCAATGATCGGGGCATTGTCGTTGACATCCTGAAGCAGGATCAACAGAGTTCCAGTTCCTGTGGCTGGGACTGGATCTGATGAGACAAACGTACATCACTAGAGCAAAGTGAGAAGAGTTCTGGGAACACTTTCAGCAGCCTTAATGGATAAATGTTTCTGCTTATGAGCTTTGAACTGAACCCAAATCCCTCAAAGTTTTACAAACATTTCCTCCTTAACAGCAGCCGAACACACCAGTGAACCCTCACACCTACCATCATCAAATGCACCAATAAGAGCTGTGTATTTGTTGTCCTTGACAAAGACGGACTCCCGGTCCATTTCGTTTTTTATTGTAATCAATCCCGTGTCCTTTTTTACTTCCAGCCAGCCTGCTGGGTCACTTATTATATTATACCTGGAAATTCACAAACAAAAAAGGAGCTGATTACAATCTGGTCTGAGCATCATCATGAGGCATGATGCGATGCATGTTCAAACAAGAGATAAAACATATTAAAGGTTGGGGCTTTTTGTTTTGTGTGGGGCTAAACATGACATCATTTTCAGGCAAATCCTCTACAACAAGGCAAACTGTTATAACAATTACTGAAAAAAACATAATAAATAAAGGTCTGCCAAACATACAGAATATGAGCAATCAAAGTCCAAAGGATGAATTACCTCATGCAACAATCTTTAATATGTGTCTATTAAGTATATTCATCATTGTGGTGAGCTGAAAGGTCAATTACACTGATAATGGCAATGTCCATGGTGTAAAATGGATCAACAGTTCAATTATAAAAATGTGTAAGAACATGAAATTGCAGCTTCTTTCAGTTTTTCCCCACAGCAAGTCACACTCCATCATTTTCCTTTGACCTCTGTCCTCACTCCAGCTACTTCCATGTCCTCTCGAACTGCATCCATATATCTCCTCTGTCTTTTTCCTGGCAGCTGCATTTCTAACATCCTTCTACCAGTATACCCACTGTCCCTCCTCTGGACATGTCCAAACCACCTCAGTCTGGTCTCTATAACTTTATCTCCCAGTTGTTCAACCTGTGCTGTACCTCTGATGATCTCACCACTGTCTTGTAAACTTTTCCTTTGACCTTTGCAGACACCTTTTTGTAACAAATCACTCCTGAAACTTTTCTCCATCCACTCCACCTTATCTGGACTCTCTTCTTCACCACTTTACCACACTCCTTTGTTTTCCTGGACAGTGGACCCCAAGTCCTTGAAGTCCTGCACCTTATGTGGCCTCACTGTTCCACCTGCCCATCTCTCATTCACACACATTTATTCTGTCTTGCAACAGCTGATATTGTTCTCTAGATTCTCTAGGTTGTCCCCATGTGTCCAACCATAAAATAACTTGCAGCAAGTTGTCCATGGAGCAACTCCACACAAGTTTAGGATAAAAACATGAAACTATAGATTCACGTCGAATCTTATTTTTAGTAAGGCCACTTTCTCCAAAGATAAGTGGTAAAGGACATAAAACTGCAGCTTTCAGTAACAATGTGAACAGCTTGCCTGTTGAGGACTACCAGCCACTCCAAACCATTTTATAATCAAAGACTTCACGAGTAAAGGTTTCTTTTGAGTAAGTATTCTTAATATAAAAAAAAAGATTCAATATAGAACCATAATCTGATATTTTCTGTCTTAATCATTTGTGAAGTTACACCAAAGACAACTTACAGTGTCCCATCTTAAGAATAGAGAGACAATTTAGGGGTCAATGGGTTTGACATTTCTGTGTTATTCAGATGTCAGTCTGGAGAGTAGACATGGTCACAGCAGTCACCTGTGACCTTGACTATTGTCCAGGAAGGATCATCTTTTATCCATGTGTCCAGCTGTGCAGTTCGACATGTCTGTTTATCAATTTAGTACTCAGACAAGAAATTGTTCACAGCCAGGATAGACGGCGCCATGACATAATTTGTCTCGTCTCAGGATGGGTGTATGGATACCAATACAGAGAAACTTGTTGGTTTTCATAAAGAACAGGTGGAAGTGTTCTTATGCGATGCACAGAAGTACTTGGGCAGTAACGTAGATTTGAGTGCACAGATTAAAAAAAGTTCTTAGTAGGCTGGACAACTTCTTGCACCTTTTAGACAAACATCTGATCTTGTGTTGTAGTCCATGTTACAGTTGTAAAGTAAAATTAAAGTTTATTATAATTTGTTTGCTTACATGACTTTCTGTTTGCGTGCCGTGTCTGGATCGGTAGCCGTGTACACCGCCACCTCACTGCCAACAGGAATGTTCTCCATTTTGGACACAGGGTTTTCACTTGGATCAAAGATCGGAGGTTCATTGACGTCCAGCACAGTTACTATTACCGTAGCCGTGGAAGTGAGCAGAGGAACTTCAAAATCAATTTCGTTCACCACGGTAACCAACAAAGTGTATTTGCTGACTTTCTCAAAGTCCAGACCCTGGTTAATGGGAAGAAAAAATATCACAGCACATCTGATCGGATGAACAGAAACACAATCGGCAGCTCAGATACAATCCAATAACAAAAATGTACTCAAAATCATTTTGATCAAAAATTGTTGGGAATGTCAATATCATAGAAAATATCTGTACAATAAAAAATGCCTCTAGGACTTTCTGTGGTTTTGTTACCTTGACAGTAGTAATGGTTCCTTCTTGTTTGTTAGCTGCTGTTGTTGTTACATTAAAAAAGTTTCCAGGATCTCCATCAATGATCTTGAACACGGCATTCCAAGCTGGAGTATGAGTTTCATCACCGTCCGTCACTGACATTCGAACAACTAAAGCGTTCACTTTATTTTCTTCAACTGTTGCAGTGTACTGAAAAAAAAAAAATCAAAAGAAGTGGTGTTAATAATACACCACAAACTACCTAGACTTGGGAGTCTGTGCTTTCTGGAACACAGAAAATGTAAAAAGAGCAGCAAGCTAATAATAGCTCATCACTTCAGCCAACTTGTTCACATAAAAACTAGAGGTGTGCAGGAATTTATAAATTGGGTGGCCATGTGGGGGCCACTGTATGAAGTCGAATGAAGTGTGATGGGTTCAAGCAGAGCCCTATAAAGAGAGAGTTGCGACACTCCCATAGACTCCCATAGAAAGAATGGAATGCGGAAGTCACGTGGGTCATGCAGCGGCAAAAAGTTCCAAACAGCAGCGGGTTCAGCATTGAACGTAGTTCATTCTCCGTGTTTTTCCGGTAAGTTGATGCAAATGCGACACTTTTTTGCCATTGTGAAGCGTTATCTGACTGTTCTGTACCACAATTTATCCACATTAATACTTCATGTCGCCAGTTTTAGTTAATGAAACATGTTAAATTGCTAGTTGTGTTTTAACTGCAGCTGCTCTGCAACATGATGGTTTAAATGGGTCTATTTCTAATTCAACGTTTTAAAATATCTTACTGCTTAAATTTTGAAAGGTGGTCTTCTTAAATTTATGGTAATTCCAGTTACTGCACTCAACTAGAAAATATTTGGCCTTTTTTTCCTGAGAGATTCATTCAACCTTTATTTCTACAGGTAAATCCCATTGAGCCTCGAGGACTCATTTACAAGAGAGACCTGATTTAACAAAGAATGATGACAACATGACAACAAGATTGACGTAATTTAGTCAATTCAGTGTTCAATGCTCATGTGGGCAATGACAGTGAGACCTGGAGGGGTGTGGTTGGGAGGAACGGCCCCCCTGATCTGAACCAGAGTGGTGTTCTGTTGTTGGACTTCTGTGCTCGTCATGGATTGTCAATAACGAACACCTTGTTCAAGCATAAGAGTGTCCATATGTGCTCTTGGCACCAGGACACCCTAGGCCGCAGTTCGATGATCGACTTTGTCATCGTCTCATCTGATCTGCGGCCACATGTCTTGGACACTCGGGTGAAGAGAGGGGTGGAGCTGTCAACTGATCACTACCTGGTGGTGAGTTGGCTCCGATGGTGGGGGAGGATGCCGGTCAGACCTGGTAGGCCCAAACGTATTGTGAGGGTTTGCTGGGAACATCTGGCAGAGTCTCCTGTGAGACGGAGTTTCAACTCCCACCTCCGGGAGAACTTTGAACATGTTCCAAGGGAGGTGGGGGACATCGAGTCTGAGTGGACCATGTTTCGTGCCTCTATTGTCGAGGCGGCTTACCAGAGCTGCGGCCGCAAGGTTGTCGGTGCCTGTCGCGGCGGCAACCCTCGAACCCGATGGTGGACACCGTCGGTGAGGGATGCTGTCAGGCTGAAGAAGGAGTCCTATCGGGCCTTTTTGGCCTGTGGGACCCCGGAAGCAGCTGATGGGTACCGGCAGTCCAAGCGACATGCGGCTCGGGTGGTTGCTGAGGCAAAAACTCGGGCATGGGAGGAGTTCGGAGAGGCCATGGAGAACGACTTCCGCACGGCTTCGAGACGTTTCTGGTCCACCATCCGGCGTCTCGGGGGGGAAGCGGTATGCTACCAACACTGTTTATAGTGGGAGTGGTGTGCTGCTGACCTCAACTCGGGATGTTGTGGGTCGGTGGGCGGAATACTTTGAAGACCTCCTCAATCCCACCGGCACGTTTTCCACTGAGGAAGCGGAGCCTGGGGATTCTGGGTCGGGCCCTCCAATCTCTGGTGCTGAGGTCACCGAGGTGGTTAAAAAGCTCCTCGGTGGCAGGGCCCCAGGGGTGGATGAGATCCGCCCAGAGTTCCTTAAGGCTCTGGATGTTGTAGGGTTGTGTTGGCTTACGCGACTCTGCAATGTTGCGTGGACATCGGGGGAAGTTCCCCTGGATTGGCAGACCGGGGTGGTGGTCCCCCTATTCAAAAAGGGGGACCGTAGAGTGTGTTCCAACTACAGGGGGATCACGCTCTTAAGCCTCCCTGGTAAGGTCTATTCGGGGGTTCTGGAGAGGAGGGTCTGTCGGATAGTCGAACCTCGGATTCAGGAGGAACAGTGCGGTTTTCGTCCTGGCCGTGGAACACTGGACCAGCTCTACACTCTCAGCAGGGTCCTGGAGGGTGCGTGGGAGTTTGCCCAACCAGTCTACATGTGCTTTGTGGACTTGGAGAAGGCGTTCGACCGCGTCCCTCGGGGGGCCCTGTGGGGGGCCCTGTGGGGGGTACTCTGGGAGTATGGGGTACCAGGCCCTTTGATACGGGCTGTTAGGTCCCTGTATGACCGGTGTCAGAGCCTGGTCCGCATCGCCGGCAGCGTGTCCTGGGGAAGACCCAGGACACGCTGGAGGGACTACGTTTCTCGGCTGGCCTGGGAACGCCTCGGGATTCCCCCGGAAGAGCTGGCCCAAGTGGCTGGGGAGAGGGAAGTCTGGGCCTCCCTACTTAGGCTGCTACCCCCGCGACCCGACCCCGGATAAGCGGAAGAAAATGGATGGATGGATGGATGGATGGTTATAGATCATTTATCAAAGACTGCAGCATAAATTGTGACATTATCATTAAAGAAAAACGTGATTGTGGAGATGAACCAATTTTTTTCATGTTTTCCAGGTAAACCAGAGAATGACTTCATGAACTGAATGTTGCATTCTAAGTATCACAAAGGTACAAGATCTCATTTTCTGTCTTCCAAAACAATAACAGCTTAATCAAGATGTTTGAATAAGATTACTTTAGCACCATAACCTTCACAAAGTTGGTATTTACTTCAGGACTGTTAAATTACTTTTGTTTTATATTATTAGTTTAATGTTTGGTAATCATGGGTCAAGATGAGATGAGACTCTTTCAAGACAGAACAAGAAATAAGAATTATTACCAAGAACATATCAGCATCAATAAACTGTAGAACAGTAACAAAACAACTTATTGAACTATCACAGGTACATTGAGATGGAGCTGGAAGTTATTCTTCATGCAAGTTGTCTTCATCTGATTTTTTGTAAAAATATGTCAATTTATTTTCCATTGTTAACATTTTTCTTGGCAGGACTGAGTTAATTTTCTTGTCTGTGAGTTTCTTCTGTCCTGCTTATGTATTTTTTTGTGTTCTAATTGTTCCTCAGGTTTTTCATCTCTGTTCCCTGACTGCCTGTTGCTCCATCCTCCTGGTCCTGTTGATCCTGGCTCATCAGATCCTGACATGTCCCCGTCCTCTAAACACATTTTCATCTTTCCCTCATCTCACTCGCCTCATTTCTGTTTCTTCCTTATTCAGTCTCTGAAATTACAATGTCACTGTTAGAATGAAGATTATTTTCAATAAAAAATATGACATGTCTTATTTAACACTGTTCGTACCAAAGTTTAATTTAGAACAACATGTGTGGTCACTGGTCAGGTCACTGGTCAGGTCACTGGTCAGTGGAAGTTCTGCTGTTCTTCTCATTTGGTTCTGGTCGATGAACAACTGGTTGAACCTCCTTCAGTCTCACACGTCCTCACTGTGTCTCTGTGAACTGTCCTCTCTCTAAATGTGCCTGTAGAGTGACAGTTTATTTTCTTGCACATTTCTTTGACAGTTAAACATTTTGAGCCCTGATTGAAAATGTTTGTGCAGATTAAATTTACAGCTCTCAGTTTATGTTGTTGTGATGATGATGATGGTGCTCCTGCTGACTTGAGATGATGTCATTAATAAACAGTATAAATGGCAGTAAAAGTACTTTATTAAAGCTTGCTTTACATTTTACATATTTTATAATAAATTGTTTGGAAATTTATTTTTGCACAATTAACACTTATTTTGTCATCTGTTATGATTTTAACTAAAAACAGTTTCATTTAAATTAACATTTTAATCAACGAATTACAATTTTACAATAATTGTCAGGCTACAATCAACTCAGTTATCAGGTACTTGGTTGCCATAAAAAAAAGACAAATACAACAATTATATTCAGGTCTCTCTTGTAAATGAGTCCTCATGGATCAATGGGACGAACCAGTTTAAATAAAGGTTGAATTAATATCTTCTATATGTAGTGGACTAGGCCTATGTCAAAACTGACCAGATGGACAGAAACTGTCATTTCATTGATTTGAATCCAGAAATACAGTTTGACCCATCCTGAGACTTTCTTTCTTGAATTAATCAAGTGGAAAAAGACAATTCTCTATGATCATTACTATTTTACAAATGTTTGATAATCAAATTGTGTTAGTTCAAACAATGTTTACATGTTGAAGTGAACTACTCATTTTTATTTACTTAAACAGTAGTAATGATTTTTGGTCCTCAATTCAAAGTGAAATCAAGTTAGAGTACATTACAGAGTAATGATTCAATTTCTTGATCGTCTGCTTTGAAAGTGAGCAAGTTTGTAAGTGTGTTAGAGTTCAGGTTTCGGTCATCTAAGAAGTTTACTGAAAAGAAATGTCATGTTTAACTTTTACAGCAAGATACTGAGTAGAGACGCCACTAAGACTGGTTTTCTCCAACAATCTTTCTGTCTGTTCTTAAACAATCTTAATCTCTATCCTTGACTTTCCATAACACCTTACATCACAAACCACACCTCTGTTCTGGTCCATCCACCAATCAAAAAGCTCTCAAATGAACCGGAAGTATAGCCCGTTTAAATGTGGCAACTTCCCAGTTCAACAGAAGAGTTTCAGAAGAGTTCCAGTAGAGTTCAAGAGTTGTGGAATCCAGAGTGCAGGGAGTTTGGGAGTCCGTGAATGCAACCGCAGGCATTCATGGATGCTGCTAAACCAAACAAGCTGAACCAGAGACGATTTTGGGAATTATAACTTCTGTTTGGATAACCTCACACGGCTCTCTAGGTATTTGGCTGTCTCACTGAGACGCTGAACAGTGGTTGGAAGTAAGACTCCACGCCGGAACTGATCTATCTTCAGAAAAGGTAAAAGTCGACATTCACCGAAA